TTTTCAAAGTGCGGTTTGATGTGTTAAAGTGATGATTCAACTCATGTTTTATATTGATCCAAGTCGCTTGAACAGCTGCATTAGTGAGTCTGAGTAATAGTAACTGCGACTCTCTGAACAATCCTGTATGGCTTTCTCTGTTTGTGTTTAATTACTGGAGGAAATAGCTGCATGTTTCACAGAAAACACTAATTAGCCCGTGGTAGCCGAAGTAAAATCCCCCAAAGTTGTTGTGCAGTGTGACCGCCAAATGGGGTCGACTTTAGCTCAATAATCTGATTCCTCAACTGTAGGAGTACTTTTCAGTTACAGTCTACACTATACATACAATGTGCTGCGTCGAGTAGTTGCATGAACTAAAATCATCTGAATAAATAGAGAGAGAGAGAGAGAGAGAGAGAGAGAGAGAGAGAGAGAGAGAGATCTCAATACTGTATATCTGGACAGAAATGATATTATTTTGTGCAACCACTCAACAAAATAAAATGGAGTCAATTAAACTACCGGTACTGTTTTTTTCAGTGTACTCAGAAAAAGAATGTGATCAAAAATGTACTGTTTTTGCACCTTTAACTTTTGGACCCCAGGAAACATTGTGGACCCGGAGAAAGGACAAATCCACTGTATCTGTTTTTAATGAACCTGAACTGGTTAGCTGTTTGACAACGGTGCAGCTATTTGTAACTCTTCTCAGCAGCAAAGTCAAATGTCAAGGGCGTAAACGTAATCTGAGCAGCTGACCGTACCACCTCACTGGAAAGACATTGTCCCCTTAAAGGTAAAGTGATTAGGTTTTTGACCACAGTCACGGTGGCTGTCATTATCGTGTTTGATTTAAGTCTGACAGAATGAGCGATATAAAGCAGCGCAAGAAGCTGCTTAAAGTCTAACGGCTGACGGGCACTGTACCTGTGGAAAGGGGGAGGAAAAATAAGGCCGTCTTAAATCAGTCGTCGACATTCCGGACTGCACAAGAGGCAGAGCGTACAAGTCCTTCAAAACTGTTTCCTGCTGTATGGTACACACATTGTCTTCTGTTACACCCATATGCACGCACGCATGCACGCAAACACAAAGATACTGCACTTGAAAGTTATGGTGATGAGCAGATTTTTTGATTTACTTTCTTACATTAAAAGAATCTCCCACTGAGCCCCTGGTTTTGCTTTAACATGTTCCAGAACATCAAACTAGGAACACATTTTGGGATTAAATAAAGGATTTAAGATACCGGTACAAGTTTTTATTCCAGTGAGGAAGAAGCAGTTGATACAAGTTAGAATCTGAGAAACCCACATTTACTGAGACAAAGTGTTACCCTGCAGCTAAATGTGCATACTGAACTACTTACATTTAATTACTCACCAATTTTATATAACAATATTTGATGCTGCCCATTTTGCAGGACAGACTGATGTATTTTGGTTAAATCAAATGTTCAAAAACACCACATTTTATTGACCATAGTATTGTATAGACATAGTATTGTATGTAAACAATGTAAAAAAAAAAATCATTAAAAGTTACAGCGTTTATGGTCAGAAGTGAAAGAAGCTACTAAATAAATGTAATGTTCTAAGCACAGAACTATTCTGTAAGATGGCAAGTCCAAGATGTACCCCACTTCTTGTTGGGATAGGCTACGGTACCTTAAGGAGGGCAAATAGTAGAAAATATATCAATCAGTGAAAGGATGTGTGAATAAACATTAGTTGGTCATTTTAGTGTGTAGAAAAGTTTGTCCAAGCACTGTACATCACTCAAAACAGTGGCATTAGTTGCTCATCCACCAATCTTGTAGATGAGTCCAAGACATCCGGCCATCCACCTGGCAAACTATCACAGCTGTCTTTGTGCAAGAAGTGTGGTACACCGTGACCTGCTTTCCAGCCAATCACAGCAATTCTTGGATGCTATTTTCATGATAGACACTGTAGCTTTAGATTCCAAATGATATTTAGATTTGTCTCAATGATCCTTTTAAAATCTTCCCTCGTCTGCAGTCGCAGCATCAAAGAATGGATGGTACATCCCATTCCCCTATCGTGTGAAAAACCAAGCTTGTTCAGTACAGTGTGCACACACACATGAGGCGCGTCAACAAACACACACCTTAATCGAGTCGATATTTATTTGAGCACGTGTCTGAATCACTGGTGGCTGAATGTGGTTTATTTATCTGGATTTAGCTTATTTCCAGCATTGTCACGCAAGGGAATTCTTTTCATGGCATGCACCGATTCGTCTCTCGATATTCACAAGGACTGAGAAGACAGATTTGGTTCGAGTTTCTTATGAACAAGATTCTGCTTTTCTGTGTTAAAAATCTGCTCTTTATTCAAAATACATCTTTGAAAAGCAAAGACTTGGTTGAATTTAAAAAAAGCACCATTTATGTCCAAAATAAAATATATTTTTTAATGGGGAAAAAAACAGCTTACCCATAAATTTTCAGAACCTGATTCAAAAAAAGAGTGTGTTTACATCTTTAGAGTTTATTTTAAAACAAATAATAAAGCAGCATTGTATTTCTTTGTATGGAACAAGTTGGACCAAGAATTAAACGACTGCCGAAAAATGTCATTTGAAACCAAACCTAAGAGAAATATTTTAAATGCAGATGTTGAGAGTAGACAATGAAAGCGACAATTTGTTTTTTCGCTGTATTTTATTCCTATTATTTCATGATGTGTATAACGCAGATGTAATCCTTAATTGCTTTTCTAGAAATAAGCAAGATTTTGCTCATGTGGAGGGGGAACGTATAATAAGCTCATGCTTCTGCCTATTTTCCCTTTCATTCAAAATGTATGGGGTGTTTGTTGAGTAAATGGCTTGTTCTGGAAATGTCTGCATAAAATAATCAACTGGAAGAAAACTGAACTTGAAATGAGCACAAGACCTAACATACTTGAGCCCAATCTCACTAGATGATAATACAGAAAAGTTTTAGCAGTCAAGTTGAAGTCCAATTCAGCTTGTGCCCAATCAGTGAATTATTTCATGAAGACAGCCGCACATCACCTGGGGGGGCTGGGTGGGTGAGTCACCCAGTGCGTGACTCACCACCTTTTTAACTGTTTACATCCACAGTGTGTTTCTGCCCTTCCTGCTCCCCTACCCAGTTTTTATTGGAAGGGAAGTTGGACAAAGATGAGGAAAGTTTGACAGATCAGGAGACAGTGAGCGAGATGTTGTGTCAGCTGTCCGGATTCATCCAAGTGTCCGCTTCACTGATAGTAGTTGATCTGAAATGTCACTGGAAGTTCATGAATTCAAGGCTTCACTTCTTTCTGCCTGAATTGCACTGGGAAAACATGTACCGAAATTGTCAAAATGTAATTTTAGCTCACTCAGAGTTATATTCGCTTTTTCAATATTCATTTTGACTTTTGTATTTCTAAATCAGCTAGTTTTAATTTTAATAGCAGCTATTTTAGTTATTAGTTTTTAGATGTATTTCCTCAAATACGGAATGGCCAGCCAGGGATTTTGCCCCACTGAACTGCAGAGAATACTCTGTGTTTATTTGAAAGAATGATTCATAAGAAACCACATCCCCGTGTGCGTGTCCGTGTGTTCAGTTCAGTCTTTATTGTTCACAATTTTCGCACATTGTGAGCTATATGAGAGGAAAGTCAGGGCGGTGTTCTGTAACGTCTGCACTTTGTTACCTGGAAGCAGTTTGTTTGCAGTAAAGGTCACCGTAGCTTATCTAAGACAATCTGTGAAAAACAGAAGGGGTGTGTGTGTGTGTGCGTGTGTGTGTGTGTGTGTGTGTGTGTGTGTGTGTGTGTGCGCGCGCGCGCGCGCGCATGCGTGTGAGGCTATAATAGGTGGAGAACTGCATGTGTTGTGTTCAAGACATTCAGGCATTGATGCAGAAATGACTTCCAACCCTGCAGATTGCTTGCAGTTGTCAGTCAACAAATTCAATACTGCAAACATTAGATTGATGGGCTCGTGCATTTTATTTGTGCAGTCCTGAATCATTCCATGTGTTTGTTTCCTCAGATATCAACACTGGAATGTAGCCCGTTTTTACAGAGCTGCACTACTTTGGACACGTGTCCACAGCCACACGTGTGTATCATCACAATGCTCAAATGAGTATTCTCAACAGCTCCTATAAGTGGAAATCTATTCTTAGGACATTGGGCTAAATATCTTTAATTAATTACTAGATAAACAATTAAATCTTTGTTTTAAAGTAATGGAAGCATTGAATCTTCTGAACTGCTTCTTCTAAGTTCGTATTGTGAAACCCGGTGGTAATCTCCGTCTCTATATTACTCATGGTGACCTTCGCTCATCGTCAAAGTTAAGTTTTTATCTTTTGCTATTAACCACTCATTTCTTTTTTTGCCATGTGACATTGGAGAATGTTAAAATGATACTTAAAACATGGGACGTACCAATAGCAGGAGGACAAGCGCTTACGTTTGAGTACTCCCAGATACCGAGTACCGATTCTTTACAATGCATGTCTTTCTAAATCGCATCATTGACAACCCAGCAAAGTTAGTGGATACAAGCTGATGGAAGCCGGTAGTGGTGTAGGAATGATTCATGGCCGTGTAGCAGCATGAAGTCCGGGATTCCATCCATCAACTTTCTCACTGACCACATCATATCCTCCGCCCCCACATTGCTCCCTTATTTATTTATTTTTGTACAACCTGCGTGAAGCCAAAGCTGCGAGGTCTGATGAACCTGACCTCCAGCCAAAGAGAGCACAGAAACCGTCGCAAACATGCCGCAGGGTTCATCCCATTCTGTTTTCACTTCTTGCACATAACGTTTGAGCGTACGTCAATGTCGCTCATCCATCTACGGCTGACACACAACGTAGGGTTGGCCTGCGTGTGATCAGTGCACACCGGATGCCAGGCAACACATGACCGCCTGCAGAGAGACAACAAGCGAGGTTCACTTGTTCTCTACTCGAGCATTCTGTGCCGACTTGGGGAATTTATTGCTCCATCTGCGTGTTTTCTCAGGGCCTCCCGGAAAGCGTGGAAGGATGGGAAGAAGAGGGGAACCGGGTAAGTAAAGTCCATCACCTGTTTTGTTTCTTGTCTTGCCTTTCCTGTTCGTTTTCACTAACTCGCTCCATCACGCTCTCGGTGACTGGAAGTGTCGTGCAAAGCCCGCATCCAGCGGCTCATTAGGCTTTTAGGAGCCCATCTTCTTCCGTTAACCTGGCCCATGTGGTGGTACTAACATTGTCCAGATGTCAGGGTATCTCATTGAGCTCTAGTAGCTGCTCAAGCTCACTGAGTGCCAACATCTCTGCCCCATGGTTTGGAATGAGAAACCCGGATATGCCGTGCCATCACCAGTTTGTTGACTGGTTGGGCGTAGCTGTGTCCACACGGTACTACTTAACTTTCCAATTAAGTCAACAACAAAACAAGGATCATAGTCAACAAACACAAAGTCCTGGATGCCCACCATTGTTTGTTTACTAAACAATGGTGAGCATCCAATATTTTGTTTTTTGCTTTTTTTCCACCGCCCTCCACAGCAAGTGGCAAAATGACCGCCTGCTGGAGTATTTAATGGTCTAATAAATTCACATAAGCTTTTGGTGAGGTTTATTACCAGTACTGCCTTATAGTAAACTTTTTGGTACCCTTTCATAATCCTACTGACAATTTAACATAACAACCACGTGCCGCCCCAAATGCCATCGGATTGGTTTATTTTTTAACATTTGATCCTAAATATTCATGAGGTAGGCAAAGGTGATGGCTTTAGTATGTTTCCAGTCTCCTTTTGGAGGTATGCACTTTTTTTTTAATGATACAACATCTATGTTTCCAGTCTTGGAGGTATGCACTTTTTTTTTAATGATACAACATCATTCATATAATTTACAGACTATTGAGCATCCAGTTGGAGAATGATTTCCCTATTGTTGTAATTCTTGAACAAACAACGCAAACCATTCTAAATGCCAGTTTATCCTAACAGCTTCACCATAAACTCATATGGCAGCATATCTCATGAACTTGTTGTGTACCACATTTCAGGTGCTGTATTGCAAACAAACCACAGTACATGTGCAGCGAGCAGAGATGCACATGGTATTTTCTCATGTCTGTTTTGTCTCTCTCTCTCTGTTGCAGGACCTCCTGTAAGTACATTTGCATCTCAACCAGTAAGGTAGTATTAAAGTTAACCAGTGTGAAGGCACGGAACTAGAAAAGTCACATTATATCTGTGTAAAATAGAGCAAAAGCACACACCGCCTGACAAACTGTCACAAACATGTTGCACATCTGCATCCACAACTGGATGACTAAAGGAAGTGTGCGTGCGTGCGTGCGTGCGTGTGTGCGTGCGTGTTAGGACCAGCAAATAAGTTATTGTTCTCTGAGGGCTCATAATTTATTTTTTTTATTGTCACAAACATGTTGCACATCTGCACCCACAACTCGATTACTAAAGGAAGTGTGCATGCGTGCGTGCGTGCGTGCGTGCGTGTTAGGGCCAGCAAATAAGTTATTGTTCTCTGAGGGCTCATAATTTATTTTTTTTAACACACACACACACACACACACACACACACACACACACACACACCTATCACTTTCGAACAGGACACAAGTACTGTCTTCCGGGTGAACATTCAGGAGTCAAAATTCCCAGTACCCCAACACAACATATTGTGGTATAGCAGTGTTGGATGAGGCAAGTCCGAACTTCATTACTCGATGTTACCATTATGTTTTCACTACGCACATAACAAATCCACATCTTGAATCTTGATTAGCATGTCAATATTTCAAATTAGTAGAGTAGCGTTTGCATGTTATCCGGGCATAGGCATATTAAGGTTAACTCATGTCCAAGCTAAAAATTAACAAAAGAAATACCATAATTGGCTTTAAGCGTCTTGCTTGCTAATTTGAATAAACCTACCCAAAAGCGCCAGTTAAGAGGTCACGGTTGTGAAGTTGTTGACTTCTTTCTAAAGTATTTCATACAGTGGAACCTCTGAGGTCAAACACAATCTATTTAGGAATGCTAGTTAGCCTCTCATTTGTTCAGAAACGTGTTTTTTTTTTTCCTTTTGGAATTGATGGAACGAGAACTGCAGCTACTTTAAGATCTGTACCTGCACATAACATTTATGACATTCTCAACTGCCATGCACGTGTAAACGTGCAACCTTGTGTAAACATGGAACCTCAGAGGCATCAGACTTGAGATGGTCCCCTATATCCATTTGAGACTTCCTGGATGTACCTTCACACAGTTCAAATAAATCTAAACTCTGATTGCCATTCAATGATAACATGATATTCTGAAAATTGTCTGCAGCCCCGTTCTAACCTGTTTCAATGCTTCATCCTTTAATGTCTAACCTCACCAGGGCAAAGCGGGACGGGATGGATACCCGGTAAATTGGATTTGTTCTATAGCCTTTCACTCTTCTTTGTGACCCAATCATGAGTTCTTTTAAACCTCTGCTGGAAATTTTTCCCTATTTTTCTTCTGTTTGTTGCTCTTTTTATTGCCCTTTCTTCCAACTGTTGCTGCTTTTTTTCCTAATCTCATATGACTTTCAGTACTTATCATTTATCCTGCACCGTAACATTTGAGTACAAACATATGCACACAAATTATGATACAAGCTGTCCTTTGACATGTTCTTTGTGGGGGGGCAGAATAGGTGCTACTTAATGGATACATACGGTATGCTATGATAAAAAAGATAGTTAACCTTTTTATAGGGGCAGACTTAGCATGAAGTGGTCGCAAGTCCTCCAGGGGCCCACAAAGGTCTCATAAAAACGTTTCAGAGATTTCCACGAATTAAATCAACTATTATTGTTTGTGTCTGAATTCAAATTACTGAATTTATCATCACCGTTTTGACCTCTCCCCCGTTCCATGCATTGGACTATTCCATCTTATTTTGGACCCCCAAAATGACTAAATATGCCACTTAATCATTATTTACATTTTACATTATTAAAAAAATACTATATGGTTAATATATGCTTATGTGGTGCTGAGAGGCAATTTTACATTTTAGATTGCACCAGTGAGCTGAGATGATTATGGAACAAAATTAAATGTTCCTGCAGCTTGTATGTCTTAATGATTTACTCAGTGGTTCCATAATGAAATCAGTAATGATTCATATACAGTAATCCCTCGTTTATCGTGATAAATGAAAATCCGCGAAGTAGCGACCAATTAACATATATAGGTAAAAAAAAAAAAAATTTTTTTTTTTTAAGTCCGCAAAAAGTCCGCAAACGGTCTGCAAGAAGCTGCAAAACAACAGCAAGTCACATAGAGCAACATATACGGTACTGTACTCCATGTATATGGAATTTATTTTATTTTTTGAATATGTATGAAAAAATCCGCGATGCACTGAAGCCGCAATAAACGAACTGCGAAATAGTGAGGTATCACTGTATATGGTCATTCATTTGCACAATTATATTGTTTCATGTAATTGAGTGTCTCAAATGCTTTTTGAAGCTCTTTAACTTGATATCCTACTAGTGCACCAAATTTTCTTAACAGTGAGGACAAAGAGCATACTACACTGTAAAATCCAAGCATTTATCTTTACTTAAACCAAAAACATGCAAACCAGTTACAATTTAAAAAAAAAAAAACAAGAAAAGTAATTAATTTTATTTGTATTAGCACTTAATTTGTAGAGTCAACTTACAAATGAGTTTATTCCGCAATTAAAACAATCAAGTAGAGTGTACTTGATAACTTACTTTAGAAATACTCAGTTAAGACTACTCAGGATTACTATTTTAATCTACTACATTTTTGCATGTCAAATATGCGCTGTTTTATTCATAAAACGTACTTATCTAAGTTTCAGTAACTTGTATTACTTCACTTGACTAATTTATATGTTTACTTGAAAAGCAATCTGAAATTCCAGGAGGGGCTCAGAGTCGATCCGCTTCTCCTCTACGTAGAGAGGAGCCAGATGAGGTGGCTAGGGCATCAAATTAGGATGCCTCCTGGACGCCTCCCTGGTTTGGTGTTCCGGGCATGTCCCACCGGCAGGAGGCCCCAGGGGATGACACACGCGATAGACTATGTCTCCCAGCTGACCTGGGAACACCTCGGGATCTCTCGGGAAGAACTGGAAAATTTGGCTGGGCAGAGGGAAGTCTGGGCTTTCCTGCTAAAGCTGTTGTCCCCGAGATCCGACCTTGGATAAGCTGTGGAAAATAGATGAATGGATAAGGTCTAGGAGCCAAAATGAACGTCAGCCTGCACAGCATCCATGTTTTCCTCTGAATTACCAGAACAGCAACACCATTCACCAACATACAGAGCAGACAGACCGACAGGAAAAACTTCTCGTTGGCGGGAAACGATGCCGTCCAATGATAGACAGACAGATTTGACTCAACCGGTACAAGGTTGGGTCACGCATCTCATCTCTTTGTTCGGAACAACATGCGGATAGCTAGTGGATACTAACAAACGCGGTACAGTAATCCCTCGTTTATCGCGGGGGTTACATTCCAAAAAGAACCAGTGATAGGTGAAATCCGTGAAGTAGTGAGCTTTATTTTTTACAGTTATTATACAATACTGAACTATGTATACAATGAAACCAAAGACCAAAACCTGTTTTCAGGTCCAAGCAAAAAAAAAAAAAAAAAACCCAAATGTTTTCAACAAATACGATAACTATAATAGTTTTTGGAAATACTGTACTGTAAAATAATATTTTTAATGGTCAGTACGAGGTTGGACTGTTCACGTCGGTCAGTGCCTTAGCCAATCAGGATGCAGAACGCAATACACTGTTTAAAAGCATTAAAAAAACTGCACTAAAATAATCCGTGAAACAGCGAAGCCGCAGAAAGTGAACCGCGTTAGAGCGAGGGATCACTGTACTAGTGGTTAGGCTAAGGTAAGTCGCTAACGCTAAGAGTCGTATCAGTAATAAAAACATTTAGAAAGCGAAAAATGCTGGATAACGTACCTTAGCTGCAAAAGGATGACATTTGTCACAGGCAAAATTCAAGTCCGCACCTTGCCCTTGGTGATCCTGAGCGGGGGAATTATTTTACCTTCTTCTTTGGAAAGCTTAACGGTGGTTAGCCACCTTTACAACAAGCATTACCACCACCTACTGACCTGGGTGTGGAGTAGATCAGGGGTGAGTGAGACTACAGTATTTGCTACTTGTTGTTGCAAGTGATCTTAACTTATAAAGGAAGTAATCGTCACTCTAAACACTAAGTACTTTGGATTTTGAAGCAAGCAAGTGATTGTTACTGAACTAATAGTAGTCATGAAGGCATATTTGTGATCACCTAGTAAAGTTAACTCGTCTTCGCATGTCAGGGCAACTATTGGATTTTACAATGTAGTGACTGGACCTTAAATTCGAGTGTAAGGATATTGAATAAATGCTCAAACTGCGTTCCATAGAAACACGGTGTTGTGATTAAAAGGTGATTAATCCCGAGCAAGTGTCACTTGTGGCCCGATGTCGGCTCCACAGGATAAGCAGTGTGGCACATTGATGGACGCGATGAGATGAAACAGCCCTGCGCTCTGTTGCTGATTTGTGGTTTCGGCGTCATCAAATTCTCATCAAAGCACGCCGATACACGCTCGCCACGAGAGAGCTCAGGTTTTATAAGCAGATTGATTCATCACAACTGGCCGTCTGCACAGTGTTTTAGTGCACACGCAAGCTATTATGGGATATTACAATTGAGCTAGTTCGATGCACAACTTGCCTTGCATCTGGCTATTGACTGCACACAGTAGTTGCCCTTGTGGTACCTGCTGTGTTTTTCTGCGTGTCGTCTGATTGGAAATTATGGGAAGTAAATGCCCCGAGGGGGTCCAAGGGGTCCGTTCTCTCCCGATCCGATTCCCAGTCTGACTGGCATTGCACAGCCCTCCTGACGGGAAATGCCTGCTGCTAATTACATACAGGTGGAGCGGAGGCGCAAAGTGTGTGAATCATTTGTTTTTGTTTGTGTGTGGCTCAATTCGTCTTTGTCACCGTCTTAATTAGCAATCCCCTAAAACTCTTTTTGACTTCTTAACATGGAACAAAATAAATGCGTCACTTTAAAGGTAAATAATCTGGATGATCCCACCATGCTTAATTCTCACAATGTGCTCCTTCAGCATCATATTGCACAGAAAAAAAGGCTTAATGAGTCCTTTTTTAAGATAAAAATAATATTTTGAGCCAGCACGGTGGTGAAGGCGTTAGCACTTCTGCCTCACAGTTTTATTGTTCTATGTTTGATTCACATTCCGGGCACCTTCTGTGTGGAGTTTGGATTTTCTCTCCTTGCTTGTTCGGGTTTTCTCCATTTTTTTTGTTTTGGATGTTATTTGCTGTAGTGTGCTACTTAGTGCCGTTCACTTTTTTACATAGTGGGCAAACAAGACAATTTCTCAGCAAGATGTAGTGCATTAGATGCATTAAGGTCATGATTTACATCAGGACAGAAAATACTCAACACAGTCAGACCACATTGTTTCAAAATGGATGTATTTACAATGCACTGTCGATAATGTCAGGAGAATTCAGTTGTATTATGTAAAAAATGTAATGCACTGTAGTTCAGAGGTAGTGTCTTTTTTATTTTATTCATAACATAAATGGTATGCCCAAACACCCTAACCATGACTACTTTTGTTGTATAGTGTTTTGTTACAGACGTCAACCATCCTTAATTGTTTTTAGTGTTTCCTCCTACTAAATTTTTATTTGCATGGTGGTAGCTTAGATGTGTCTCTCAATCGTCATGCAGCTCTCCCCTTAAATTGATTCTAATCCTTTAAACAGGCATGACGTGGTTTGTGTGGCTCAATTTAAGTGCATGTGCTTCCGTGATCGTGTGTGCTGATTCTACATGTCCCGTGTCATACTTCTACATAAATCACCGCTGAGAGGCTTGTGCCTTCCTGCCGTCAAACAATCAACAGCTAACAGACTGACAGGACTCTGCAGGATGAAAACGCACCAAATGATTGCGATAGATATGCGCAGTCACCACCGGGGTCAGTGTGTTTATACAATAATGGCAGTTTGTGACAGACAACGGGCCATGGGCCTCCATTGTTCGGTCGCTCTGGCTGCTTGCTGCACATTAAAGCCAGACGGGCAGCCAACAACATGTCAGTCATAGTTGTGTTCTAACTGCACTGTGCTGAGCGGTTCTTTTAACAGGCAAATGTCATGCGGCACAAATTGTGGTCATCTTCTGTAGTTTGGAGTGTTGTTGTTATGGAAACGTGACATGTTCACCTGTTCAATTCAATTACAAGTTTATTGTCAAATGTTGGGATGTAAGGAAACCATCCCTTGTTTCAGTATTGCATAATTATACCTAGATGCGGCTTAATGTGTGCACTACAATGTAATGTGCGCTGGAGACGCCTGTTCTGACGTGTAGCGCAACCTTTTAAGCAGCATCCTCAACAATTACACCCCACTAGCTAATTGGGGGTCTGCACTGTTGGGAGCGTAGTAAAGAATGTGAGAACTACCGTTGCCCTCATGTTTCGCTGGGACCAACAGACACACTCACAAACATACACAGACTTGTGACTACCTGTGGCCAAGTTATTTTCCAGATGTGTGTTTCAGGGCCGTAAAAGTAGTGGGAATGCTGACCATTGCACCGGATAGATTACATTTTTTTCCTGTTCTCAATTGTTCTTGAATTAGTGGTCGGTTCTCCCTAGTCATTTAATTTTCTCTCGTTTTATTTGATTATGTGGGATGTTATTTGCTTTTAAGTAGAGAAACGTATAATGCGTGATGTTTGTTACAGTAAATGTATGGCAGACGTACTTAGTAACCCTGCGATTTTATAATCGACCACACATTCCGTTGTATTCCATTGCATTGTGTGCATGATTAGAATACCGTAATGTTTAATCTGCCTTTGTGTGTAATATATAGCATGCAAGGACACACCCTGTGCCTATTAAATCAAAATTCTGTGCTATAGAGAAGAGCTGAGTGACGTGAATACAGAACATTAGACATTTGGGATTTTGCCTTTATACGTCACTACAATGTATGGAAATGAAGAGAGTTTCAGCTTTACTTTCACACAGGGGATGGATGGATTCATTCACATTTACGGGCCTTTTGTGAGACAAAAGAGAAGAATATTGGCTCAGAAGAATGAGACACTTCCATTCTCCCTCTTCTCCTCCTCTAATTCTGTTGAGAGTACCCGGGAGTGTGATAAAGTAGAAACCATTCGTACATAAACCGTTCAAGGCCAGAAGATGATGGTCAATGATGGATTCCATGTTCGCTTGAGTTTAAAGTGGGACCCAAGGGAGCTTGTAAAACAGGTTAGCTTAACATTGCGTCTGCTTGTTAAAGGAGGATGTCAGCGTTGAACATTGTAAGTCTTTTTGGAAGGTTTGATCCTTCTGGATGTCCAAGTGGTCTTTAAGGCTTTTGAACTGCGGAGGCCCTTCAGTGGCTGTTTTTTTTTTATTTTTTTTTTATGGTTAACACAGAGTAAGACGATTGACAACTTTCACTGCTGTTTTTGCGCTAATTGACAGGTTTGACAGAAATTTACAACATGCTTACACTCTGGTGAATTTTCTCTCTTTCTTGTTCTGGCACTACAGACACACACCAATTTGATCTTGAAATATTTTTTCCTAATATGTATTTTATATTAAATACAGAGCAATGAACAACAGTTCTCAATTAAAATACAGTGCCATAATTCTTATGTAATTTCTTGAAGATATGACTTCCTGTTTTTTTTACTCCACAAATTCTAACTTCGACAACGCAGTCTAGTAGTCATGCAAATATGTGATGCGGCCAGGGAAATTTGACCTGGGAATTCTGTCTCTGATCTCCTTTGCATACATTAAAAAAATATATATTATGCATCTTAGTCACATGGGCCTGAACCATCAACACTTCATTGTTGCAATAGCAATAAGATAAGAGAAGAAAACCTTTATTTGTCTCACAATTGAGGAATTCCCATAATAGATAATAAATCATCAGACATATATTAACCACCTGGAAGCAACGTAAAATGAATGGCATGTACATTTGTTTCAAATGAATGGGGCAGGATGAATTCTATTTTTCAGTCTTCTTTTTCATTGTGTGACTTTTGGTCTCTCTTTCCCGCTAATCTGACATATGCTTGATAATTCTTCGATTGTTTCCCAATTATTGTGTTTGATGATGATTACCATATGTGTAATTGAGCTGACATTTAGTTTTAGCACTCGGCCGATTCCTTCTTCTCAACGATGGGGAGCCCTTTAATCTAGTTTCATTCGTGGATTTTAGAACCACACCGAATGCTCTCAACTCTTGTTTTGATGCCGCTGTCATACGGAGCAGAATAATGTTGCCTCGAGAAGCTGACTTGCTGTTATCTAATTGAAACTAGATCAACAGTGAATCAGCGCATGGTTGTAGCCAATGAGCACATCCTATTTTGCCTCAGATGCTTCAAAACAACCATCAATTCCGCACAATTGTGAAAATGGTCATCCTTATTCTTAACATTTTTGCTGAAGTGCGAAACATATCCTCAAGCGATCATCAAGCCAGCACAAACACTGTGCAAAAATATAGATTTTTAAACATGTTAATCACGGTTTTATGTGCAGTGAACATTTTACTATGAAAGTTTATCATTTGGACTGTTAATAGTTTTGTCTCTCCAAGGAACGATTGAGCATACTTTCCTAAAATGTAAAACTTCTGTCGTACTTGTGCACTTGCACATCTCCTCCGAATGTGTGTTTTATTCATTCTCTTTATCGGTCTCCCAACAGGGTCCACTTGGCTTGGATGGTAAACCAGTAAGTAGAGCATAAATCACAAATACGGAACATGCTTCAAGTGTGCATTAGACATGGTTGAACTCTAACTGGGTTTTAACTCCTTTCAGGGAATACCGGGTCTCAAGGGAAGCCAGGTAGTATGTTCACACACACACACACACACACACACACACACACACACACACACACACACACACACACACACACACACACACACCTGTTGTCTTGTTCTTGGCCCATGTCAGAGCCCGTTTGCGCCAAAGGAATTCCCATTTTTGGAGCAATGGATCCATGTGGGTGTTTAGCCTGGAACCTCATCAGTCACTTTCACTGCTCCTAAGGGAATGTTTCCAAGTCCGGTAAACCACTGACGGTAGCCATCTTGTTTTTTGTTCTACCTCCTAAGTCATCGCCACGTTGAAGGGGGTGGGGTTGTCAAGTTGTCAAGGCTGAACTGCAACAAGCGCTGAAAGCCTCATTTGCACTTCACCTCTGAGTGTGATTCATCAAACTTTCCCTGAATTGCCCCACACTGTGAGATACACTTTAAGTGTTGCGAGGAAACAAAGCGAAGCACAGCAATTGGTTACACAGTCGTGGGAAAACGTGAAAACCTTTGCTTCGGGGCAGATGAAAGGGCCCTTTGAGCAGGTGGCTCTTGAGCTGGTCAAACGGTAAAACCCTCTCCAACATCATGACCATTCATTGAACAACTGCCTCTCCAAGCACCAGTCAAAAGGTCTTGTTTAAAAGTGAATCGTTAAAATATGTCTACCTGATCATCACTAGTCATACATGCTGAAACTGTTATTTGCCAATAATCCACCAAATTGCAAAGTGTTATTTTAGCATATGTGAATGAATTCTAGTACGAACGATGCATTTCCAAAAATAAAACTCATTATGTAAAATGTACATGAAATTCACATTTGAAATAACAGCAGTAGTATTAGGATTTTCCTGTAGCGCATACAACATTAAAATGTTTTTATGATGCATTTAGCCCATTTCAGGAAAGAGCAATGCCATTTATCATTCCCGTGTAGATTCTCAATCTTTCATTGTGAGAGCTCAAAATGATTGATTCCCACATCTCGTCAACAGGCACCGGATAAGAAAGTCTACCTAGATTGTTTTTTGGGTTTTTTTTTAAACTGCGATTGTTTTTTTTTCTTCCTCATTCTTGTTTTGGATTTTGAACACAGAAACAGGCAGCTGGAGCTGACTTGATCCTCAGGACCACACACTGGCCATAATCATGACACTGGGGGGGGTTTAGCACAAACAAAAAAGACGAGGTGCTATTTCCACAGATATGGCTACTGTATTTCAATTCAGCTGATGTAGAGCGCATGCCACAAGACATATGAAGCTAAGGAGAAAATTTTTAAAACTTTTAAACTTTTAAAACACATTTGCACTCTGCACAGTGTGCAAACCTTCACCGAAGCTGTATCGGCAACAGAAGTGAAACAATGTCCAACAAGTCACGGATACCTTCCGTAATAATGAAATCCAGCCATCTGATCAGTGTATTTGACACAGTTCGTGGACGAACTGAATGGTGATGGGATCCCACAAACGTAGACACAAATAAAATCCGTAACAAAAATATTTAAGCAAAAATGAAGGACGAAGTACAAACAGAAATCGCTGGCAATGAAAAGCAGGGAAAATGAAACATGTACAAAAAGCATTTGCAAAAGTCAAGGTCACAGCAAAACCCAAAAATACACAAAACAAAATTGCAAGAGTCCAAACACGTGTTACCAAAATTTGCAAAAAATCTCTGTAACAAAAATACTGACATAACTGGAATCTAAACAGACAAGAGTGACGAGGAACATGAGCAAGAAAGTCTGGAAAATAACACTTGAGGCAGTACAGCGAGCAAGATCAATAATCCAACAAGAACTTGGGAGCATGGCTGTCCTTAAATACTTGAACTTGATTAGATAAGGAATAGGTGCACCTGCTAGAAGGAAATGCCCTTCACACCAGCTGGAGCTGAAACAAAACAAGCACACACTGAACATGACAGTATTCTACCTTGAGGTACCGATGTGGTGTAAAAAGGAATGACAGAAACGTCAGGAGAGCATACGTTGCTGGATGATAATTGTTTTGGGAGTCTCCATGTGGACAAACGGAACCAAAAGTTTCGATGACATCATTGCACTCATGTTCACATGCGTATTGAAGGTCAGATCTCTCAAGAGGGTCAACCTTGATAGATTCCATTTAAAAATGGTAATTTTCAGCTATTAAAGAAGTCTGACACAATATTTAATTATTTAATGGCTTACACTTGTTGAAGTTATTTATTTTACAAATCGGCTTGTCTGAAACTCACATTTTTGAGGGCCCGGTGCCCTCCCTCATCCAGTACCCTGGTCATGAACTCAAACAGAAAGAAAGAAAAGGCCGTCATTAGTGTATCCTACTGGGGATACATTCAAGATTTTTTTTTTTTTCGAATGCGGAGCAGAGGCTGTCAGTTCATTTTGTGTAAAACCTTCTATGACTATCTGTGCCCTAACTGCTATTGTGCAGTGGACTAAAATTTGAGGAAATGTTCAAGACCTCAAATTAAATTCAGAGTAAGTTGAAATTGATTGAGTGGGATTTTTGTAAAAGCTTTCTAATTATTTTTTTCTACTCTACACAT